TCTCCTGTCCCCATCTTAATTGAATATTGACTGCTTGACAGATTCGATCTTGCTCCTCCCCCAATGTAAATCCAATGTCCTTCTAGCAATTTCCAGAACAATTTCTATCTTGTCAGCAATTCTCAAAGACCAGACAATTATATAACAGTGCTATGATAGAATAAGGCCCATCATAAAAATATTGCTCATTGACATTCTTCACAGTGTTCTTTTATCAAGTTAAAGTGTTCCCCTATATAGGTCCATGGAGAGTTATATCTTATGTGCTATGTATTGTAGCATTTCAAAGACAATTCTGTGTGTGAATGAAAAGTACAGTACGATATAGTAGGGTTGTATCACATTTAGTGCTGAAGGACGTTGTGCGACCACTTTTCAAACATAGTAAACTACAATGAGAGAGACCATGATTGAGTGGCTACTTTATAAACTAGCGTGCAGTAGCCCTGTTGTAGAGAACATGTATTGATTCTGAACAATGGTATTTGGAAGGTGCAGGATTAAAAGGTCACCTTGGCAATGTGGGCGTGGCTGTCATATTTGATAATGGTGGAAAGGGGAGATGATTATTTCCGTTAATGGTTATCAGTTGGGAGATACAGTAATGTAATGCTACAGTGGGCTTCTTCCCTTTTGTTCCTTGGTGATAGCAGTAATTGGCTATCTGCTGCGCCGTGCTTCTAGTTACATAGGGAGGTGACGATTCTGTCAAACACTAACCAGGATGGAACCTTCATCTTTTGGTACATACAGTAATGGTAATGAAGTACACATAATTACAATGGGCTTCCAATTGTTCAGTTCAGTACTCCGCTATCTGCTGTGCCTTGCCCCTATAGTTACGTACAGTAGGTCTAATGTTAACATAATGGTGGAATCTGATGACATTTTCCGTGGTGGTTGTGGCGTCTCCCACACAGTAATCAAGGTTTCCCTGCTAATAGCTGTTGTGTTGTAGATTATGAAGAAAGCACTATGCTTGGTAGACTAAACAATGTAATAGTGCCGGGTCTCTCCTTTGCTGTATAGTGAATCACTCCATTTCTCCTCGCACTGAAAACCATTTGCCATGAAAACGTATACAAGAGAGGGAACAGATTTCTTTGAAAACAATATAAAGGCCATATTCAATATGAACATGTGTTCCTGTTTTGAAAGGCCTCAGAGTCAGTGATAGTGTTGACATTTCTCAAACCTGCAGAAAACATCAAATTGGATGCATCAGAGAACAGAATTAATTTTTTATTTTCCTTTCATACATTTTTTTCCACAGTATGCCCTCCAGAAATGTTAAGTGCGAGACTATTTTCTAATGTGCATATTTAAGTCTGAAAAGAGAGCTTGGAGGCTGAAACACCAATGCAGAAAATATCAAACAAAAACCCACAGAGAAAATAAAATTACAGTCTGGAGTCATTTATTTACAATATATTAAACTGTAATGAAAAATTATTACTCATAACAAGTGGTCATTTTGTTCAATAACTAAAATAAACGAAACTATTTTGAAAGCTAGCATGAATCAGTACAGATATTTATATAAATATTAATGTGTACAGTCAGCATTGTTATGTTAGCTCATTTCTTTGTTTTGCCTGGTGTTTTTATGATGACTCAGGTTTAAGAGTATCATAAAACGAGATCATAAAACAGTTTAAAATTCCTTTTAAAACTCATGTTGACTGCATAGAGCAGGGTTTCCCAAACTTGGTCCTGGTGCCCCCCTGGGTGCACGTTTTGGTTTTTGCCCTAGCACTACACAGCTGATTCAAATAACCAACTCATCATCAAGCTTTGATTATTTGAATCAGCTGTGTAGTGCTAAGGCAAATACCAAAACGTTCACCCAGGCAGGCCCCAAGACCGAGTTTGGGAAACCCTGGCATAGAGAAAAAGGTGATGTGATAGATGTGTCTTTAAAAAAACGCTCCAAACTTCTCCCTTCACCAAGAGTATCAACAAAATCCTTTCAGCCCCACTTGCCATGTACAGATGGATAATAGACATTTTGGAAGGCCTGCTCAATTCATTAACGCTAATTCATAAATACTAAAGAGACAGCCAAAGGGTTCAATGTAACACCAAGCAACCGTAAAAACATGGGTCTTTAATATCTTCCTGGTTAAACTGCTGCACTGTTATAAAGGGTAGCATTGGTTCAGGACAGAATACTGATGAATCCTACATAACAATTAGGCTTCAGAGACACTGAAAAGGATTTGAATGCATTATATCCAGATTACAGAGTGGTGATGCAACACAGGAGGATTTAACATGCTGGTTGAGGACACCCAATCCTCACCAGTCAGAAAAAGAAGACGTATGTGTGTGTTGTAGGAGATAGAAAATAAAGGCAAACCACCATAAAGCATGGTGTTGAATATCGTTCCCTTTAGAAAGCAAAGCACATCAAATGGAGAAAAAAAAGAGTGAAAAGCATGAGAACAACCACAACCACAGAGAAAATAAAACAGCTGAGCCAAAGACTCTCACCCCAAAAGCATTTCTGCAAAGTACTTAGTTCAATTCAAGTTGAAATAAAATGAGACAAGGCATTTCATAGGGTACGCTACGCTCGAACCTCCTGGAAATTCATTTTCTTGATGGCAGGACTCTCAAAAACAAAAGGATGAAAAAAATAAGAAGAGAAAGGCCTAAACTTTCATCACAAAGCAGTTTGGTGCTGTAGCTCTCTTCTTCCCCTGGTAGGAAACATTATTCTCCTGCTAAAACCAAACAATAAAAAACAATCAGATGAACAGATGAAAGCGTCTTCTTTTGGGGGGTGGCGGAGCTCGGCGCTGCAGCCAGAATCTAAGCACAGCTGTAGAGGACCCTACTTACTGTATATCAATGGAACTCCCAAAAAGAAACTCTGGGCTTTTTACCAGGACTCAGCGTTTATAAGCAATAACACTGTGTACACACATACTTGCAACAAAGGCTTTTTTGGTACTTATTTTCTTTCTGGTCCCCCGATGCAGTGATAAAACACAAGGGAACATAACTAGTTATTTGGCTCAGTTACAACCATGATGATGATAATAGAGTCTAGGAAGGAGGAGACGATGGCGCCAGCCAAGCAGCAGCTGTCCTCATGCAGCCAGCAGAGACAAGCCATTATTAATGGAGGCGCTGTTCAACTGGAGGGGCCAGATCCAAGATGGAGACATTGTCACATATGACTTGTGAAATACACCAAGAGAGGGTTTTGCACAGTGGAGTGGAGAGTGAGCGAAACCATTAGTATTGTGTACTGTACATTGACGTACTATGGCACCTTTTGTAGATCTTAGCAATGCAAGCTGCTTTGTAATAGTAGAATAATAATGATAGTAATAGTATCATTGCCATGTTGCAGGGTTAGAAGAACAGTAGAGTGTTTGTGTGTGTGTGATGACAGCACAGTGAGTCCAATCGTGCGCCACTGGGGCCCTCTCAACATGCAAGATGTGTTGGCTGGTGTGTGTGTGTGTTAACTACGTTGTCTCAGAGGGCTTGTCTTTGCTGTCACTGTTGTTCAAGTAGCTGCCGCGTGTGTATCTGGAGCGGTAGGACCCTCGGGACACACCACCTTCTGCTTTTTCTTCTTCCTCCTCCTCTTCTTCTTCGTCAGATTTGTCAAAGCAGAACCGTCTTCGGCTAGGAGGACTGGAGGGAGAGAGAAAGAAATAATCAAAGACAGGCCCTGAGATAGTTACACAGTGGGGCATGATCATTACCAAACATTGATCCAATTTTCTTATCCTTTATGTAATGTTCGACATATTGTGCTTCAACCAACTAAATGTACACAAACCCATGCACGGATGCATACTACCGTACCTCTAGTAATAAAACAAAATTAGGTCTGTTTGTATTCCATTTTTAGACACAACTTATTACACAGAGAGAATGTGATGGATTATGGTTCTGGTTTGTGGTTGAATGAATCTGCTATGCACTGTGGCTTCCTCTCCAAAAACAGAAGAATGGCACACCTACACTGCACTGCCTGGCTTCACTTCAAGTGTAGGACAATCAAATACCATTCAGTTTAAACAAAACACCAGTTACCCTTTTATTCACTCTAATGACTTCTAATCAATAGATAAAATCTTCCTCATGAATCGTCAGTAGAGCATACTCTGACGTACCCTCTCTCTGTCATTAGATATTCTACCTGCCTACTGCTACTGCGTGTTTGAAGCTGATTTAACATTCAAGCCCACTTAAATTATGCAAACCTAGGGTTAATTACTGTAAATCGTGCAACTTAAATGTACTTGCTGCTTGTGTAAATCGATGCATTGGGTCTAATTACGCCCAGAGTTAAGGGGTTGGAGGGGAAAATCTATGGTGGCCATCTTAATTGACGACTCCTGGTATTTTCCTATTTCCGGCGCCATAAATCACGCTGAAGTTTGGGTGGAGAATTAGCGAGCAGCACTACAGCTACACCCACGTGAGCTTAGTCTTTTCCTTGGCTCTAACCCCCATGCTGCTAGGCTAATCAGCATTGTAATGCATCCACAACACGCTTATACCCTTCTCTCTCTCTCTCTGTCTTTCTTTCCCCCGAAAATACCGTAACGGAATTACAGCAGTGCAAAGCAATGTCACAATAATTGCCATTGAAGAGATGTAAATTCAAATTGCTTTCAGATGAGCTCCTGTGAATTAAGGACCTCAATTACCTCAATTAGTATTTAGGGATTGAGAGTGCAATTAAAAAACAAAAATGTCTTGAGATGAACCGAGTGAAATTCTACATTTCTACAGTAATGTTGAAGCCCTAACAGGAATAAGTCAAGTAAGTCAAAGTGATGTATCATTCATAACACAACTGACGTTTTCAAAAGGTGACTGGATATTTGGGTTAGATTATAAAAGGGGGGGGGTTGGTCCATTGAATGTGAGACTCAGCAGGAGAGGATTGACTGAGGTACCTCTCTCTGTGGTTAGCCACATCACACCATGCAGTAGACACACTCCACACCAGGCATCACCTACTGCAAGCCTCAGTCACTGTCTGGTCTGTACAGATACTTCATCATCAGGTTGTCCACTTTCTTCTTCCTACTCTTCTCCTCCTTCTTGTTAGGAGGGGGCTGCCCCTCAGCAGGTGTCCCAGCCTCCCTCTCCCCCTCTGGACTAGAGGCCTGGCGGCCAGGGGCTCTCTTTACACTGTTGGTGCTTTTGTAGGAGATTGTGGAGGCACCAGAGCTGGAGCCAGACTCTGAGTCAGATGATGAATCCGAGGATGAGGAAGAAGAAGAAGTAGTCTCCTTTTTGGACTTCTTCTTGGACTTCTTCTTGGACTTCTTGCCCTTCTTCTTGGTGCTGCCCTTCTTGCTGCGGCGGTCATCATCGGCGCTGTCTGACTCGGAGCCGTGGCTCCTCTTCTTCTTCTTGCCTTTGCTCTTCTTTGCGCTGCGGCTGTGGCTGCGACTGCGGCTGCTCATGCTGCTGGAGGACCTCCTACAGTCCACGGCCGAAGCTGAGCGTCTCAGACTGTTGGTGCTGCGCCCGCTGTCCACCTCCCGGTCGCCTCTCCCCCTGACGCTAAGCACACTCTTCCTGTCATCCTCTGTGTCCTCCTCTTTCTTCCCTGCCTCGGCCTCCGAGTCTTCCAGGCTGGTGCGTTTGAACTTGATGGGTTTGAAGTTGAGCACCTCATTGATGGCCTTCTCCAGGTCGGGGTCCAGGTAGTTGCGGTGGCTGACGGTGGCCGGCTTGACGTCCGAGGTGTCAGGGATCTCGTCATCATCTCTGAAGGAGGAGCGAGCACGTGGCGGTGGCATGGACAGGCTGCGTCCTGTGGAGGAGTGGGGGCTGTAGGCCGAGGAGCGCTCGGTGAAGGCCACGCTGTGCCCGTCCTCCATGTCATCAAACTCACTGAGGCGGCAGCTGCGGAAGTCAGATATGCGTGAGTCAGCACGGCTCATGCTGCCAGGGCTCCTGCCCCCAGAATGGCGACTGAGAGAGGGGCTGCTGGGGCTGCAACCGCTTTTTCCATATGACTCGTCCATTCGGTGTGCGGAGGTGCTGCGGCGGCGGCTCAGGGGACTGGACATACCCAGTCTGATGGTCGACTTGGTGTCGTCGCCTGGTCTCAGGCCACGGCGCGTGGTGGCGACAGAGGCCCTGCTGGGGGCCATGGAGGACACGGTGGACTCTTTGTCGAAGTCTCCCCAGCGGCTGTCCATGCCCTTCCTAGCCCTGCTGGTGGCTTCAGTGTAGGCCTGGGAGATAACCGAGCCACGGTCATCATCGTCCCCAGTCTGGGACTTCCTCCAGGAGCTGGAGCTGACTGAGTAGGAGTCATCCTGGGCTAAGGAGCCTTTGGGCTTGGCCTTACGAAAAGAGGTGATAGACTCCTGGGAGTCCTGGTCCTTCTTGAGGGAACTGAAGAGGGAGCTGTCATCCCCTTTACCTCCGATGGAGTCATTGATGTTGGAGCGCTTCCTGTAGCTCAGGGAACTCATCACAGACACCGGCCTGCTCTGATCTACCTCTTTCTCTTTGCCCTCTTTGTTCAACTCTTTCCATTCCTTACCCTCTTTCCACTCTTTCTCTTCCTTTGCGTCTATGTTTACGGCAAATCTAGAGAGGACAGAGAACCGTTCATGTAGATGGATATAGTGGAAGAGGAGGAAGAGAAAGAGAGAAAGAATGATAGATGGAATTACAAACTTAAAAGGAGAGAGATTAATGATACTTAAAACAGGAATAAGATGAGCAACAGATTTAATTCAGTAGGAAGAAAGTAAAGTAGATAGAACAATTATTGAAATGAATGTGGGGTAGAGAATGCCTTTTTGGATTCACAACTTCAGCACAGAAAAAAAACAAATAAGACAAAACACAGACAAGACATGTACTGACTGGAGAAAACACCTGTGCTGTCTTGTCCTAACCAATTTCTTTATGCAAAATCAAAATCTCTGTATTGAACTAGGTTATTATCGGATATTCATTTGAATTTGATGTGTGTAAATGTTACACAGAATTCTAGTCAAGCATCTCATTGTGGTTAAATATGTTGAGTGATTCAGCAAGAGAGCTGAACACACACTTCCCGTGTGTGTGTGTGTGTTGTGTTGTGTGTGTGTGTGCACATCTTAACCAAAACACAGAACTGAGATCAAGGAACTGAGCTCTCCTGAAGGAAGGGAGGGAGTCCGTGGGGACACACAGTCAAGAGAGATTTAAAAACTCTTAAAAGTTGTTCAAAGTTGTGAGCGTCTGAAGTGGGGGTGTGGGACAGTTCAATCTTCTGGTAAGGAGACAAATCTAGGGCAATCGAAGCTGTCAGCTGGCAGATACATCCATTAACCTTAGGAAGAGGGGAGAATGGGAGAGAGGAGGGGGGGTAGGTATGCATACCAGCTGGCCACCGGGCATGTCGATAACTCTGCCAGGGAGGCGGCTGTCATCAAGGCAGTGACAATAAAAGACAAAGAGGCTGGAGGAAACACCAGTAATAATAATAACACCCCCCTATGTCTAGCCAAGTGTTCCCTTCCAAGTGCTATGCTGGATGTACCACGTAAAATCCTGATAGGGGGTGACTGGATACTAAAACCAGTTTGGGCTGCTTTGTAAGCAGGGGGAATGTGTGTGTGTGTTTGGCAGTTGTGAAGATAGGACCCAGTGGTGAAGATAGGGGGATCCAGGGGGATGGAGGAAGGGGGTGCCATACTGACCTGGAGCTCTTGAGGCTGCCGTCATCTGAAAGGTTCTTGGTCGAGCCTTTGTTTTTGGACAGCCAGGACTTGACCCCGTCCACACGGTCTTCCACCTCCGAGTCAGATGAGTCTCCCTCACTGTGTGGCAGGGAAGGACAAAACACAACGTCAGTGGGAGGAGAGAGTAGAGAAAAAGAGAGGTGGGGAAGAGCTGAAAGAGAGTGATGGAGAAAAGGTATAAAGAGGAAGCAAGAGAGGAGATTGAGGAGGGGTGAGAGGAGATTGGGGGAGGGGTGAGAGAGGAGATTGGGGGAGGAGTAAGAGAGGAGATTGAGGGAGGGGCGAGAGAGGAGATTGAGGGAGGAGTAAGAGAGGAGATTGAGGGAGGGGCGAGAGAGGAGATTGAGGAGGGGTGAGAGGAGATTGGGGGAGGGGCGAGAGAGGAGATTGAGGGAGGAGTAAGAGAGGAGATTGAGGAGGGGTGAGAGGAGATTGAGGGAGGGGTGAGAGAGGAGATTGAGGGAGGGGTGAGAGAGGAGATTGAGGGAGGGGTGAGAGAGGGATGGAGTGAAGTTGAGGAGAGAATGATGAAGGGAAAGAGAGAAAAAGACAGGGAGAGAAAGAGGGGGAGAGAAGGATTCTGTATTGGAAGTGTTAGTGAGGCAACTGAGGAGGATCACATATTTTATTTTGGGAGAGAAGACAGAAGAAAACCACATGCACTAGATCACAGGAGCCCTAGGAAACACACACAGACACGGTCACACTTGTTGTCACTGTTAGGAGTGTTATCACTGTGGCCCTGTGGTTAGCTGGCAATGGGGCACAAAGAGGGCTCAATTCCATTCACTCTGATCCAAAGCCACTCCAGTTAAGGCGGCGCATAAGGAGAGAGACCAGGAATGGGATGAAGTGGAAAGTGAAGAGAGTAAGGCACAAAATGAAGGGATTTTCACTTTCCTCTCTCTCACTTATCTATTCCCTCCACAGTCCCCCAAAATTGCAGTTGAGCTCTTGACAAAATGATTTGGTGCACAGCTTGGTTGCTGAGCTGTTTTCTCTCTAAATTATCATTACTGCGTCGACAGCCTACTGCGAAGCGTGAGGAGAAATGGAGGGTTGTTCGAAATTTGACACGGTTGAAAAGAGCATGACACTCATTAAGTGCCGCAGAGCCCAATGCTCATGTGGTGCTGCGAAATTAAGCTGTTACAGCTTAATAATAAAACAGAGACATCGATTGGGGGGGGGGGGGGGGGTCAATCTCCACTACTGCTTTTAAAAACCTTGTCTTGCTGTGGAGTAGAGAGAGCAAATAGCGTTTTCTTTTTCTGCACTTAATCTGGCCCACCACCACATTCAGTAGCTACAATTAAAATCGTTAAGAGGCAGAGATACAAAAGCCTCCCCTTATCGCAGAAGGATCTCATATTTAATTATGGGTTCGGTCATAACTAGCCCACTCTGTTTTAAACTGTACAATAACATCAAATACTAGGCACTAAGATGGCAGTGTTTAGAAGGGAAAGAGAAAGGAAAGGTTGGGAGTCGAGATAAAAGCATTTCTCTAGGAGGGAGGCTGTAATTAACTTTGCAGGCCATGCCTGGCCTATTAGACAATGTGGGGAACGTCAGTGAGAATTGTTATTGTGACAGAGTGAGCGGCTGGCTGGCTTTGGCACAGAGGCCTTGTCAATAAGGGTGTAAACAAAGAGTGAAGGAGCCCTGGGAAAAAGGAGCTAACGTTAGCTAACCGGAGCAGACAATTCCAAGGCTGTTTGCTCATCTCCTCTCCTCAGAGAAAAAACAAAAACGCTTGGATTTGTGTGTTTGTTGGGCTTTGCGAGTCAACACCTCCCCAGCCTCTTAAGATTTGTTTTTTATCCGTTCACTTATCTGGCAACATACTGCTTTAAAGAACTATCGCCGCTCCAGGAATACTAAGAGCACTGATGTTGCTTTGAAGAAAGAAAAAAAGGAAAAGCTATATTGTTTTTGAAGAATCTTTTTTGGTATTTTATTCTCTTGACCCTGATGACATCGCTTGCGTTCCCCAGGGCAAAATTACACTAGCTGTCATTTTGCAAAATCAATGCCGAAACCCTCTGTACAAAATAGTCAAAAATCCATTACTTCATGGAGAGAATTTCCTTAAGCACTAATTTTTTTTTCATTTATACAGGTACAATCCTGTTGAGATTTAAATATTTTGGGGGGGTGAGGGAGACCTGTCCTCTACTTGAAGGATGTGCATCTCTTTCCACATGTGCATTTTGTCCAAGGAGGAGCCACTGGGTAAATGGAGGTGATGTATTCAGATCACAGAGGCCTTCCCTCCCCGGGCCGGGGCCAAAACAAAACCGACGGGACGATGGGCCCTTTGTAATCGAGCGCTTCACACATGGTGTCACACACGATTTATATCCTTGACCGCCATACCATTAATTAAGCCGTGCCGAGAGCCCAGGGGAAGCAAACAAACACAGAGTGTGGAGGGAGACATTAATTGTCTGTGACAATCTGCCTCCAGTGGTTGTACATCTCTGTTACACACTATTACATTCATCATTAGCTCCTATGGATCCTCTTCTGCTCCCTCTGCACTGCTCCTCCTTGGTGTCCCTGGGTCTTACAAGCGTCTGTGTTGATTCCCAGAATATTGGGACTTTTATTAGGCAACTCAGCCTAGACAGCAGCTCCCTATGGGGCTTCAACACAGCCAGCCAGGCATACGCATCTGTTCAAAACCTATTAAGACACATATACTGGGAGCATTGCTGTGATCTCCAATACCAGATTAAAAGGGGAGATTGTGACGCAAAGAAACCTCTCTGACTTTCTTTCATCCTGACGTTGTTCATTTAGTATAAAATCACTTGGCACCTTTTTTGTGATCGAACAACGACAGACATGGATTACATTTCCAATCAATTTGCAAACAGAAATTAAAACATAGCACGTTGAAATAACTAAATCCTGTGTCAATCAATAGTCTCCAATTATTCGTATGTATTGTGTACATGCCCATTCAACAAAACATTGTTATCAAATCAGTAGCTATTATTACTATTACTGCCTAGTACTGAAAAACATAAAGAACATGGTTATTATGATTCAATAACAAAAACCCTGGAAAGAACAGCTGGGGTCTCCCATCCAATTACTATGTAAAAAACATGAATTTCCCAACACCGTATTCTCTACTGTAATGTACCAGTGTTGTACAAGCCCATCATTAAAGGTAGACTCAGCGAAATGACGTTGCCACGAGCAGCACCACAGATAATGAGATGAGTGAGATGCAAGACTTCGCTCTCAGACAGTCACATACAGTATCTGCGCATGTGCACGGGTTCGTTTCATTCTGTTCACAGTGTGGCATCTACGGGACCAAAACAGCAGAGAAGTTTATCCTCATGCTTCAACACTCTTAATTGGTTTGGAAAATGACCCACTATGCTGTTTACTTTCTGCATCTACGTCATATCGCTGAGTCTACCTTTAACATTCAGAACCCTTTCTGCTTTAACAAAAAGCAGCACTTTACAATACTGCTTAACAAGGGTTTAACAGCTGAAACGGCAGTGACTGCTGTGAGTGAACATTGACATGGGACTGGAATGGCCCAGAGCCAGAGGTTAACACTGTGTGTGAGCCACTTTCCAGACTAGCAGAGAGCTTTTTGTAAGACATTTGAGGTTTCTGCATTATATAGTGAGTGTAAAAGATTGATGAGGAACACACCCCTCGTCTTTCCGTCGTCGGAGGCAGACAGTCACATCTCACATCCACCCCAGAGCAAGGCTCTGAAATATTCAGTAGGCCATGAGAGCAGGGGGGTGGCCACTGGGCACAGAACACTGTTCAAACAAGGCACAGTGGTGTCCAACAGACCCCCAGAGGTCCAAGAACCGAGCCCTGTGGGACACCACAATGACTGACCAGTGGGGCAAGACACTTACCCAGCGATGGATGCTTACTACACCAGTTAGATATTATATGTTACATCTGTTACCCTCAGTTGAAGGGGTTACTGGATGAATAACCACACGTACACTCTGGGGAAGGGGTTGTTTCATGCTTGGTTTAGAAAAGCATGTTGTCAATGGCATTCATGCAGTTCAACATGTGGCATCATGCAGTGAAGTGTAGAGCAAATTGGGTTATGGGGGAATAGATGAGCCCTGGAATAATGATGCAGTATCACTGAGCTTGTTCGTTGAATGGTATCCCATAGTTAAGTCCATATGCAGTGACATATGAACTATGCCATAAGTCATAAACTTGAACTTATATGAGATGGCTTGAACATTGACAATAGATCTGCTGCTTGATATTGCATCTTTTCCAATGAAGGGCAACAGGCTATTCCAAAACCGTGCTTAAAATAATGTCAAACACGAGCTCCAGTTCCTCACGTTTTGTTCCTTCTTTTCTGATACTTTGTCACCATGTCTTGTAAACTGGTCATGATGAAGGATGACAGACAGAGACACAAAGAAACAAAGAATACAAACACAAAACAAACAAAAGAAAAGTGAGACCGGAAGTAGGTAAGTAGTCCAGTAAACCAAAAGAACGTGATGATTAGGCTAATGCTTGAAGGATCTACATCCTAAATCATTGTGGATATCACGGCTGATGTTATGGTGGTGATGATGACGACCATAGAGATCCTATTCAATTACTATTATTCTAATTCCTAATTCTATGATGATGACCCTGTTGTTCTATTAAAGATATTTCCTCCCAGAGGGAGAGATTCAACCACTGCATATTGCACGCCACATATGACTGTAAGTCGCTTTGGATAAAAGCGTCTGCTAAATGGCATATTATTATTTATTATTATCATCCTGATCCACATCCTGTTACTGTGTGGAGAAGAAAGAGTACACAGTATACTCAAACCTGTTTTACAGAGCTATTTACTGCTGAAAGGCCTTCTCCCCGGGACTGCACTCATAAACAAACAAATAAACAAACAAGGCTCGGCAGGAGCGAGTACATAAATAAGGAACGGGAGGAGACAGAACTCAATTTCATTGATGTAGCTTTAGCTAGCCGCCTATCTCATCGAATACAGGAAACAGAGTAATATTTCCCCCCAAAAAATGCCAGAAAATTAAGCCCAGCATTTTTCAGGGCATAAATCTTTCAGTGTGTGAATAAGAAATGACGGCGTCGGGGGAGAGTTCTGTCTGATTGCTTTATCCAAGGCCTCTTTCAATGGAACATCCATCTTCCAATCTACAGTTTAACTGTGTAACAGTAGCTGCTCTCTATGCTGAGTGTGTGCTGACTAGCCTATACTTGCTGTCATGAGAGGACAAGAGGTAAATTAATCAATTCTTTCTATTAAGTGAATGTATATGTTCGGCAACTAAATAGACAGCTATACCTGTTGATGAGGTCCTCGTTGTCGTCACTCTCCATCTCGTCCTCGATGGCGGCCTGGAGGTCACCAATCCTCTTGAAGGCTAGTTTAAGGTCCGCCTGCAGGCTCTGATTGGCTGCCTCCAAGCTTTCAATATCCATTTCCTGTTGGAAGAGAGTGAGACACTCTAAACTAAGGTCCCAGCATTACACCTACATCTGACAATTTCTGAAGTCTCTTTGTCAGTCTCATTTCCCTAAATGTCTACTACTCCTGAACAAAACAAGGTTGATGGGAACTGCAGCCGTTATTTCATATCTTCAAAGTGCGCCACTGTAAAAAGCCAGTCTGTACACTGTCCCAGTCGGCTTGGCCCATTTGTGACTTTGGGTCTTACCAGCTCATGTTTCTTGCGGCTGGCCTCTCCCTCCTTCTTGGCCAGCTCTCCCATCTCCTCCTTGATATCTCTGATCTGTCTCTGGAGCCGCTTGTTCTGCTCCTTCTCCCGAGTCTCGCTGGTGCTGCGGTGATCCCGCTCCTCTGTTAGCTTCTCAAGGTTCTCCTTCAGACGGGCAACCAGGCTCTGAATGACCAACAGCAGGGACCATGTTAGAAGAACCACTGCACTCACAGTCTATACAGTATCTGGCACAGGCGAGAGACCTTATCATACATGCAGCTATGAGAGATGCTCCATATCTAAAAGGGGATTCAGTTGAGGAAAAACCTACACTTACTTGCATTTGAGATATTTCCCCAAATAAGGGCAAGAAACTGGGCCTACTCATTAAACAGCCTACCTGCAAAACATAGTTCTGCTACATACTGTATTTGCACCACAGAGGAATTCTCCAGCATTTCTTACGAGCACTTATAACAACTTTAATGCACTAAAAAGGCTAAATCCAGCCTCCATACCAATACTAAACAGCCAACTTTGTTAAAGTATACCATTAGCCTTCAGCCCCTCCATGTTTCACACTGTGAGTTCTGCTCGCTGTCTGCTAAGATGAGATGTATCCAGCCACTCACAGTGGTTTCAAATGCCATGCGTAGCAAAAAGACATGGCTAAACACGACCTTAAAACCCCTTATAACTCTGGATGTACAGTGAGGGAAAAAAATATTTGATCCCCTGCTGATTTTGTACGTTTGCCCACTGACAAAGAAATGATCCGTCTATAATTTTAATGGTAGGTTTATTTGAACAGTGAGAGACAGAATAACAACAAAAATCCAGAAAAACGCATGTCAAAAAAGTTATAAATTCATTGCATTTTAATGAGGGAAATAAGTATTTGACCCCCTCTCAATCAGAAAGATTTCTGGCTCCCAGATGTCTTTTATACAGGTAACGATCTGAGATTAGGAGCACACTCTTAAAGGGAGAGATCCTAATCTCAGCTTGTTACCTGTATAAAAGACACCTGTCCACAGAAGCAATCAATCAATCAGATTCCAAACTCTCCACCATGGCCAAGACCAAAGAGCTCTCCAAGGATGTCAGGGACAAGATTGTAGACCTACACAAGGCTGGAATGGGCTACAAGACCATCGCCAAGCAGCTTGGTGAGAAGGTGACAACAGTTGGTGCGATTATTCGCAAATGGAAGAAACACAAAAGACCTGTCAATCTCCCTCGGCCTGGGGCTCCAGGTCCCCCTGCTCAAGAAAGCACATATACAGGCCCGTCTGAAGTTTGCCAATGAACATCTGAATGATTCAGAGGAGAACTGGGTGAAAGTGTTGTGGTCAGATGAGACCAAAATCGAGCTCTTTGTTATCAACTCAACTCGCCGTGTTTGGAGGAGGAGGAATGCTGCCTATGACCCCAAGAACACCATCCCCACCATCAAACATGGAGGTGGAAACATTATGCTTTGGGGTATTTTTCTGCTTAGGGGACAGGACAACTTCACCGCATCAAAGGGACGATGGACGGGGCCATGTACCGTCAAATCTTGGGTGAGAACCTCCTTCCCTCAGCCAGGGCATTGGAAATGGGTCGTGGATGGGTATTCCAGCATGACAATGAACCAAAACACATGGCCAAGGCAACAAAGGAGTGGCTCAAGAATAAGCACATTAAGGTCCTGGAGTGGCCTAGCCAGTCTCCAGACCATAATCCCACAGAAAATCTGTGGAAGGAGCTGAAGGTTCGAGTTGCCAAACGTCAGCCTCGAAACCTTAATGACTTGGAGAAGATCTGCAAAGAGGAGTGGGACAAAATCCCTCCTGAGATGTGTGCAAACCTGGTGGCCAACTACAAGAAACGTCTGACCTCTGTGATTGCCAACAAGGGTTTTGCCACCAAGTACTAAGTAATGTTTTGCAGAGGGGTCAAATACTTATTTCCCTCATTAAAATGCAAATCAATTTATAACATTTTTGACATGCGTTTTTCTGGATTTTTTTGTTGTTATTCTGTGTCTCACTGTTCAAATAAACCTACCATTAAAATTATAGACTGATCATGTCTTTGTCAGTGGGCAAACGTACAAAATCAGCAGGGGATCAAATACTTTTTTCCCTCACTGTATCTTTCCCAAAGCTGAACAATGCTTAACCAGTCTTAGATGGTCTTTGTATTATTCCAGCCAGTGGAGAACATCGAAAGAGAGGGATTCTCGGAGAGAGTTTTACTTTTATTTGTTTATTTCTTTGTTCTTTATTTATAGATTTTCAGATATAAGAACAGAAACAGAAAAACCCAAACCCCTCCCTCCCTCCCCCCCCTCCCTCCCTCCCTTTTAGTTTTGAGTGTAAAAAGTTAAAGCAGTGTGTCTGGAACATTGCTGGTAATTACAAGTCTAAAAGTTGCCAAAACAAGCAAAGATGCATTTGTCAGTGAGGCAGAAAATTGATTAAAATGTTTCCCTGGCTGTGTGCGAACAGTAACCTTTATCCTTCACTTAAACGTTTGTCCCAGAATGTAATTTGAAACTGACAGAATAACAAATTATTAAATTATATTGTGGAGTGAATAGAATAGAACAGAGCAGAAGGTGTTTTCTAACTAACTGTGATAACAGTCCGAGCTAGAAGAAGGTTATGTGAGGCTGAACCCAGCACTGAGTGGGCAATACTTGCATGGTATAACAGAGGGGGGTGGAGGTAGTGGGAGTCAATCGTCCTGAGGAAATGTTTTTCATTTACTCCAAAAAAAGTAGCCCATTCATCCCCTGGGCAATTCTTCAGCCCTAACCTTCCACAAACACACACACACACACGCACGCACGCACGCACTCACACACACCCACCCACACTCAGGCACTCACGCACGCACACACTCGACAGGCTGCCAGACGCAAACCAGCGCTCCTCCTCTAGAAAATCCCTCAACCCCCTGATTGCACTCACCTCCAAGCGTTTGACCTGCGTCTTCTCAAACTCCATCTTGGTCTCCATCTCTCGGATCTTGGCCTCCTGCCTGCTGACCAGAGACTTTTCCACCATAGAAGTCTCCTGGAACTCCAGCTGGCTCTGCAGTGCCGAGAGCTGAGGGAGTGAAACACACGATTAGGAACACACACACAAGGCAGAGTTTTAGAATGAACAACATACTGTACCAGCAACAAACTGATATCATACAGTATTCAGACCCCTTGACTTTTCCAAAATGTTGTTACGTTACAACCTTATTCTAAAATGGATTAAATTGTTTTTTTCCTCATCAATCTACACACAATACTCCATTATGACAAAGCAAAAACAGGTTTTTAGAAATGTTTGCAAATATATATATACACACTTCCGTTCAAAAGTTTGGGGTCACTTAGAAAGAAAAGCAAATGTTTTTGTCCATTAAAATAACATCAAATTGATCAGAAATACAGTATAGACATTGTTAATGTTGTAAATGGCTATTGTAGCTGGAAACGGCTGATTTTTAATGGAATATCTACATAGGCGTACAGAGGCCCATTATCAGCAACCATCAGTCCTGTGTTCCAATGGCACGTTGTGTTTTAATCCAAATTTATCATTTTAAAAGGCTAACTGATCATTAGAAAACCCCTTTTGCAATTATGTTAGCACAGCTGAAAACTGTTGTGCTGATTAAAGAAGCAATAAAACTGGACTTCTTGAGACTAGTCGAGTATCTGGAGCATCAGCAATTGTGGGTTCGATTACAGGCTCAAAGTGGCCAGAAACAAAGAACTTTCTTCTGAAACTCGTCAGTCTATTCTTGTTCTGAGAAATGAAGGCTATTCCATGCGAGAAATTGCTAAGAAACTGAAGATCTCGTACAACGCTGTGTACTACTCCCTTCACAGAACAGCGCAAACAGGCTCTAACCTGAATAGAAAGAGGAGAAAAAAAGAATAAAAATAAAAAATAAAAAGAGGAGTGGGAGGCCCTGGTGCGCAACTGAGCAAGAGGACAAATACATTACAGTGTCTAGTTTGAGAAACAGACGCCTCACAGGTCCTCAACTGGCAGCTTCATTAAATAGTACCCGCAAAACACCAGTCTCAACGGCAACAGTGAAGAGGCGACTCCGGGATGCTGACCTTCTAGGCAGAGTTGCAAAGAAAAAGCCATATCTCAGACTGGCCAATAAAAATAAAAGTTTAAGATGGGCAGTGAAATATCATATTCACATAAGTATTCAGACCCTTTACTCAGTACTTTGATGAAGCACCTTTGGCAGCAATTACAGCCTCAAGTCTTCTTGGGTATGACGCTAAAAGCTTAGCACACCTGTTTTTGGGGAGTTTCTCCCACTCTTCGCTGCAAATCCTCTCAAGCTTTGGATGGGGAGCGTCGCTGCACTGCTGTTTTCAGGTCTCTCCAGAGATGTTAGATCGGGTTCAAGTCCGGGCTCTGGCTGGGCCACTCAAGGACATTCAGAGACTTGTCCCAAAGCCATTCCTGCATTGTCTTAGCTGTGTGCTTAGGGTCGTTGTCTTGTTGGAATGTGAACCATCGCCCCAGTCTGAGGTCCTGAGCGCTCTTGGAGCAGGATTTCATCAAGGATCTCTCTGTACTTTGCTCTGTTCATCTTTCACTCGATCCTGACTAGTTTCCCAGTCCCTGCCACTGAAAAACATCCCCACAACATGATTCTGCCACCACCATGCTTCACCATAGGTATAGTGCCAGGTTTCCTCCAGACGTGACGCTTGGCATTCAGGCCAAATAGTTAAATATTGGATTCATCAGACCAGAGAATCTTGTTTTTCATGGTCAGAGTCCTTTAGGTGCCTTTTGGCAAACTCCAAGCGGGCTGTCATGTTGTCACGACTTCTGCTGAGGCTGCCTCCCCTCCTTGTTCGGGCAGGTTTCGGCATCACCGGCTTACTAGCTACTGCCGATCCATTTATCAACTCTCCATTTGTCTTGTCTTCAATCACACACACCCGGTCCTTATTACCTCATTAGTCATTGTATACAGTGGGGGAAAAAAGTATTTAGTCAGCCACCAATTGTGCAAGTTCTCCCACTTAAAAAGATGAGAGAGGCCTGTAATTTTCATCATAGGTACACGTCAACTATGACAGACAAAATGAGATTCTTTCTCTCCAGAAAATCACATTGTAGGATTTTTTATGAATTTATTTGCAAATTATGGTGGAAAATAAGTATTTGGTCAATAACAAAAGTTTCTCAATATGTTATATACCCTTTGTTGGCAATGACACAGGTCAAATGTTTTCTGTAAGTCTTCACAAGGTTTTCACACACTGTTGCTGGTATTTTGGCCCATTCCTCCATGCAGATCTCCTCTAGAGCAGTGATGTTTTGGGGCTGTCGCTGGGCAACACGGACTTTCAACTCCCTACAAAGATTTTCTATGGGTTTGAGATCTGGAGACTGGCTAGGCCACTCCAGGACCTTGAAATGCTTCTTACGAAGCCACTCCTTCGTTGCCCAGGTGGTGTGTTTGGGATCATTGTCATGCTGAAAGACCCAGCCACGTTTCATCTTCAATGCCCTTGCTGATGGAAGGAGGTTTTCACTCAAAATCTCACGATACATGGCCCCATTCATTCTTTCCTTTACACGGATCAGTCGTCCTGGTCCCTTTGCAGAAAAACAGCCCCAAAGCATGATGTTTCCACCCCCATGCTTCACAGTAGGTATGGTGTTCTTTGGATGCAACTCAGCATTCTTTGTCCTCCAAACACGACGAGTTGAGTTTTTACCAAAAAGTTATATTTTGGTTTCATCTGACCATATGACATTCTCCCAATCCTCTTCTGGATCATCCAAATGCACTCTAGCAAACTTCAGACGGGCCTGGACATGTACTGGCTTAAGCAGGGGGACACGTCTGGCACTGCAGGATTTGAGTCCCTGGCGGCGTAGTGTGTTACTGATGGTAGGCTTTGTTACTTTGGTCCCAGCTCTCTGCAGCTCATTCACTAGGTCTCCCCGTGTGATTCTGGGATTTTTGCTCACCGTTCTTGTGATCATTTTGACCCCACAGGGTGAGAAATTGCGTGGAGCCCCAGATCGAGGGAGATTATCAGTGGTCTTGTATGTCTTCCATTTCCTAATAATTGCTCCCACGGTTGATTTCTTCAAACCAAGCTGATTACCTATTGCAGATTCAGTCTTCCCAGCCTGGTGCAGGTCTATAATTTTGTTTCTGGTGTCCTTTGACAGCTCTTTGGTCTTGGCCATAGTGGAGTTTGGAGTGTGACTGTTTGAGGTTGTGGACAGGTGTATTTTATACTGATAACAAGTTCAAACAGGTGCCATTAATACAGGTAACGAGTGGAGGACAGAGGAGCCTCTTAAAGAAGAAGTTACAGGTCTGTGAGAGCCAGAAATCTTGCTTGTTTGTAGGTGACCAAATACTTACAGTGGGGAAAAAAAGTATTTAGTCAGCCACCAATTGTGCAAGTTCTCCCACTTAGAAAGATGAGAGAGGCCTGTAATTTTCATCATAGGTACACGTCAACTATGACAGACAAATTGAGGGAAAAAAATCCAGAAAATCACATTGTAGGATTTTTAATGAATTTATTTGCAAATTATGGTGGAAAATAAGTATTTGGTCACCTACAAACAAGCAAGATTTCTGGCTCTCACAGACCTGTAACTTCTTCTTTAAGAGGCTCCCCTGTCCTCCACTCATTACCTGTATTATTGGCACCTGTTTGAACTTGTTATCAGTATAAAAGACACCTGTCCACAACCTCAAACAGTCACACTCCAAACTCCACTATGGCCAAGACCAAAGAGCTGTCAAAGGTCACCAGAAATAAAATTGTAGACCTGCACCAGGCTGGGAAGACTGAATCTGCAATAGGTAAGCAGCTTGGTTTGAAGAAATCAACTGTGGGAGCAATTATTAGGAAATGGAAGACATACAAGACCGCTGATAATCTCTCTCGATCTGGGGCTCCACGCAAGATCTCACCCCGTGGGGTCAAAATGATCACAAGAACGGTGAGCAAAAATCCCAGAACCACACGGGGGGACCTAGTGAATGACCTGCAGAGAGCTGGGACCAAAGTAACAAAGCCTACCATCAGTAACACACTACGCCGCCAGGGACTCAAATCCTGCAGTGCCAGACGTGTCCCCCTGCTTAAGCCAGTACATGTCCAGGCCAGTCTGAAGTTTGCTAGAGTGCATTTGGATGATCCAGAAGAGGATTGGGAGAATGTCATATGGTCAGATGAAACCAAAATAGAACTTTTTGGTAAAAACTCAACTCGTCGTGTTTGGAGGACAAAGAATGTTGAGTTGCATCCAAAGAACACCATACCTACTGTGAAGCATGGGGGTGGAAACATCATGCTTTGGGGCTGTTTTTCTGCAAAGGGACCAGGACGACTGATCCGTGTAAAGGAAAGAATGAATGGGGCCATGTATCGTGAGATTTTGAGTGAAAACCTCCTTCCATCAGCAAGGGCATTGAAGATGAAACGTGGCTGGGTCTTTCAGCATGACAATGATCCCAAACACACCGCCCGGGCAACGAAGGAGTGGCTTCGTAAGAAGCATTTCAAGGTCCTGGAGTGGCCTAGCCAGTCTCCAGATCTCAACCCCATAGAAAATCTTTGGAGGGAGTTGAAAGTCCATGTTGCCCAGCGACAGCCCCAAAACATCACTGCTCTAGAGGAGATCTGCATGGAGGAATGGGCCAAAATACCAGCAACAGTGTGTGAAAACCTTGTGAAGACTTACAGAAAACGTTTGACCTGTGTCATTGCCAACAAAGGGTATATAACAAAGTATTGAGAAACTTTTGTTATTGACCAAATACTTATTTTCCACCATAATTTGCTAATAAATTCATTAAAAATCCTACAATGTGATTTTCTAGATTTTTTTTCCTCATTTTGTCTGTCATAGTTGACGTGTACCTATGATGAAAATTACAGGCCTCTCTCATCTTTTTAAGTGGGAGAACTTGCACAATTGGTGGCTGACTAAATACTTTTTTTCCCCACTGTATTTTCCACCATAATTTGCAAATAAATTCATTAAAAATCCTACAATGTGATTTTCTGGATTTTTTTTCTCAATTTGTCTGTCATAGTTGACGTGTACCTATGATGAAAATTACAGGCCTCTCTCATCTTTTTAAGTGGGAGAACTTGCACAACTGGTGGCTGACTAAATACATTTTTTCCCCACTGTAAGTGTTCCCTCTGCTTCCTTGTCTGTGTGGGTGATTGTTTATTGTGGAGGTTAGTGAAGCTCGGTGGAGCTCGTGTATTTTGTATTGACGGGAGTATTTCCCATGTGCCTTCTATTTTCCAGTGCGCCTGTTTTGTGCCCTGGAGTGTGTTTGACGCATTTCTGCGTAAACCTGTATTTTGCGGATTAAAGCCTGTTATTCTGTGATTTACCCTCCTGCGCCTGACTCCTTCAACACCACCTCATCACACATGTGCCTTTTACTGAGGAGTGGCTTCCGTCTGGTCACTCTACCATACAGGCCTGATTGGTGGAGTGCTGCAGAGTTGGTTGTCCTTCTGGAAGGTTCTCCCATCCCCACAGAGGAACTCTGGAGCTCTGTCAGAGTGACCATTGGGTTCTTGGTCACCTCTCTGACCAAGGGGCCCTTCTCCCCCGATTGCTCAGTTTGGCCAGGCGGCCAGCCCATGAAGAGTCTTGGTGGTTCCAAACTTCTTCCATTTAAGAATGATGGAGGCCACTGTGTTTTGGGGGACCTTCAATATTGCAGAAATGCGTTTCCCAGATCTGTGCCTCGACTCAATCCTGTCTCGGAGCTCTACAGACAATTCCTTCAAGCTCATGGCTTGGTTTTTTCTCTGACATGCACTGTCAATTGTGGGACCTTATATAGACAGGTGTGTGCCTTTCCAAATCATGTCCAATCAATTGAATTTACCACAGGTGGACTCCAATTAAGTTGTAGAAACATCTCAAGGATGTTCATGGAAACAGGTTGCACCTGAGCTCAATTTTGAGTCTCATGGCAAAGGGTAATACATTTGCAAAAACTTCTAAAAACCTGTTTTCACTTTGTCATTATGGGGTATTGTGTGTAGATTGATGAAGATTTGTATTTATTTAATCCATTTTAGAAAAAGGCTGTAACGTAACAAAATGTGTAAAAGGGGTCTGAATACTTTCCGAATGCACTGTATTAATACTGAACAAAAATATAAACGCAACATGCAACAATTTACAGATATGCATCTGTTGGTCGCAGATACCTTAAAAAAAATGGGCCTCAGGATCTCGTCACGGTATTTCTGTGCATTCAAATTGCCATCGATAAAATGCAATTGTGTTTGTTGTCCGTAGCTTATGCCTGCCCATACCATAACCCCACCGCCACCATGGGGCACTCTGTTAACAACGTTGACATCAGCAAACGGCTCGCCCACACAACGCCATACACATGGTCTGCGTTTGTGAGGCCGGTTGGATATACTGCCAAATTCTCAAAAACGACATTGGAGGCGGCTTATGGTAGAGAAATTAACATTAAATTCTCTGGCAACAGCTCTGGTGGACATTCCTGCAGTCAGCATTCCAATTGCACGCTCCCTCAAAACTTTTGACATCTGTGGCACTGTGTTGTGTGACAAAACTGCACATTTTAGAGTGTTCTTTTATTTTCCCCAGCACAAGGTGCACCTGTGTAATGATCATGCTGTTTAATCAGCTTCTTGATATGCCACACCTGTCAGGTGGATGGTTTATCTTGGCAAACGAGAAATGCTCACTAACAGGGATGTAAACTAATTTGTGCACAACATTTGAGAGAAATAAGCTTTTTGTGCATATGGAACACTTCTGGGATCTTTTATTTCAGCTCATGAAACATGGGACCAACACTTTACATGTTGCGTTTATATTTTTGTTCAGTGTATATTATGTTATCATATATGAATGCAACAGCCTACAGTAATAGTGCTAATGTTCTCAGAACACTAGTGTTACAGCCCACCAATGCTGAAACACAACCTCCACACAACTGGTGATCTATATCCACACCAGGGCCTTAGGCCTGAGGGCTACTCTCTATATCCACACCAGGGCCTTAGGCCTGAAGGCTACTCTCTATATATGTATGAAAATGTATGCACTCACTAACTGTAAGTCGCTCTGGATAAGAGCGTCTGCTAAATGACTAAAATGTAAAAAATATATATCCACACCAGGGCCTTAGGCCTGAGGGCTACTCTCTATATCCACACCAAGGCCTGAGGGCTACTCTCTATATCCACACCAGGGCCTTAGGCCTGAGGGCTACTCTCTACATCGACACCAGGGCCTTAGGCCTGAGGGCTACTCTCTATATCCACACCAGGGCCTTAGGCCTGAGGGCTACTCTCTACATCGACACCAGGGCCTTAGGCCTGAGGGCTACTCTCTATATCCACACCAGGGCCTTAGGGCTACTCTCTATTTCCACACCAGGGCCTTAGGCCTGAGGGCTACTCTCTATATCCACACCAGGGCCTTAGGCCTGAGGGCTACTCTCTACATCGACACCAAGGCCTTAGGCCTGAGGGCTACTCTCTATATTCACACCAGGGCCTTAGGCCTGAGGGCTACTCTCTATATCCACACCAAGGCCCGAGGGCTACTCTCTATTTCCACACCAGGGCCTTAGGCCTGAGGGCTACTCTCTATTTCCACACCAGGGCCTTAGGCCTCAGGGCTACTCTCTATATCCACACCAGGGCCTTAGGCCTGAGGGCTACTCTCTATTTCCACACCAGGGCCTTAGGCCTGAGGGCTACTCTCTATTTCCACACCAGGGCCTTAGGCCTGAGGGCTACTCTCTATTTCCACACCAGGGCCTTAGGCCTGAGGGCTACTCTCTATTTCCAAAACCAGGGCCTTAGGCCTGAGGGTTAGTCTCTATTTCCACACCAGGGCCTTAGGCCTGAGTGCTACTCTCTATTTCCACACCAGGGCCTTAGGCATGAGGGCTACTCTCTATTTCCACACCAGGGCCTTAGGCCTGAGGGCTACTCTCTATTTCCACACCAGGGCCTTAGGCCTGAGGGCTACTCTCTATTTCCACACCAGGGCCTTAGGCCTGAGGGCTACTCTCTATTTCCACACCAGGGCCTTAGGCCTGAGGGCTACTCTCTATTTCCAAACCAGGGCCTTAGGCCTGAGGGCTACTCTCTATTTCCACACCAGGTCCTTAGGCCTGAGGGCTACTCTCTGAGCCATGCACCTCTGTCATTGTTCTCTCCCCTGAGTGAAAAGTTGAAAACACTTCACATCTCTACAGGGGTTCCAGATCCAGATCAACCTTCCTCTTTAGGAGTAGCCCGGCATCTCTCTACAGAGCGCTTCAGAATTTTAACATAGTTCAGACCAGGATAGGGCTTCAAACACCAGACATCGTTACAGGCATTTCATTTATATTATTCAAAGCGTAGAGACGTGCCCCAGACTGAATTCCTTTTCATTCTTTCTAAAAGTTGCTCCGCTGTTTCAAAACAGACAGAAACTATTTGCTAGGAATAGTAATTTCCAGAATATTGACTTTGGGATGTGTGTGGGCGGTCAGACGAGGCCTCTTTGTTTAATCTGAAACCAATAAACTAACATCTAGCTTTATGCCCGCCAGTCCAACTCAAGTCTTTAAATAGGCCTAAAGTAATCTTCAAGGAAAGAAAAGTTGACCGTTTTAAAACATACTGACTATATAATTATTATTATTATGTATTTCGAGGTGAAGTGAAAGAAACTGTCCTTTACAAGCTCCTGTATGAGGGAGTCCCCTGGGAGCACCGTGTACGTTCAATAAGATGACAGCTTCCCTGTCATAATGACTGACTAGGTATCAGAGAGAGAGTGGAAGAGAGAGAGAGAGAGCGTGAGGAGAGAGAGCGAGAGAGAGCAGGGGGGGAGAGAGAGAGAGGGGGCGAGAGCTAGTGGAAGAGAGGGGGGGGGAGGCAGCTAGAGAAAAAGGGGGATTTGGACACGGTCCTCTTAGCCTGATGATCATAGATCCCCCATCCCCCTCCCTCTCAGCGACAGCGGGGATAATTGTTCCGAGGCCAGGGACTCTGATGGTTATCTCCAGATTGGAGCACCACACCGTGTGTCACGCTACAACAAAATGTCCCATGTCTGGGTGGGATCACGGGGCAACAGACAGAGAGAGGTAAAGGTATTACAGGCTTGATCCCTTGCAGGGTCACCTTGATTTGATGTTGACAAGAACAGCCACACAGACTGTGACCACACTACACGACTCTACAATGAAATCACTAGGACTGAAGGGTGCATATGCTAAAGCTGTGGGCTACTAAAGCCAAACGTCACAGCCTGACTGGGCACCGTGACAGACAACAGTCAGACAGACGTTCTCCATCTTCAACTGTCAAACGGAGTTGACCAATTCTGTTATTCTGATACACATCTTTCAAAAATGACACATTGATTATACCATGTCAATCATTTGTAAGGACTACCATGCAAAGAGAGGGGATAGGGGTGGAGGAATTTAAATTCCATGAGGCAGATGACTTATGTCAGCAAGCTAGTCCTGCTCAATGTGTCCCATTATGTTGTTATAAGTGCAGACAAAGCGCTGCATTAGGATAGGATAGCCCTGTCTATTCCCTATACCCTCCCGGCTAAACAACTGTGTTCCAGTGAACTGTACCTTCTCCTGGACATCCTGCTTCTCCTTGAGGGCCTCCTCCAGCTGGGCTTGTAGGTCAGAGATCTGGGCTAGGTTCTGAGTCGACTACACGTACGCACGCCCGCCGGCCCGCCCACACACACACACACACACACACACACACACACACACACACACACACACACAGAGAGGTTAGCTACTGGTCTGTCTGATCGGTTTAACACTAAGTTATCTCTACAGTGTACTGCATGATGTTTACTTTAGTATCACAGTACAACATAATATATTCATTCCCATTTTGTCTACACAGCCAACAGATTGATAAACAACCATAAACAAACATATTGATGGGGACAATGTCACAGGGATATCTTTTTAAAAGCAAGAGCAAGGAGGGGAGACATCAATACATCTAATTTCAATGTGACCGATGTGAAAGCACTTCTTAGAGATTAGGGACGGGATACATTCATTTGGAACTAGTGGAAGCGGATCACTCATATTTCCACCAGTGTCAGACAGAGCTCAATTTTCATTTCCACTTGATAGCAATCTGCTCTACACAGATACATTAACACTAATGGAGAGCACTAAGCTGGTGCCAAATACTACTTACACCATTGAAATAACGCAGAATTACCCTCGCATTGTGTGTGTGTGACTGTGTGTGTGTGTTACCTGGGCGACAGCTGACTTGTGCTTCTTCATGAGCTCGTTCATATCCTCCTGGTCCTCCTCCATACGAGACTGCAGATCATTCTTCTCCCTCTGCAGCCTGCTCAACTGCTCCTCCAGCTGAGAGAGAGAGACAGAGAGAGAGAGAGAGAGAGCGGGAGAGAGAGATATAAAGAATGTGTAAAATAGGATGCTGACTTCTGTAACTGTACATTCAATATTGTGAAACGGATATTGATGAAGATTTTTCAGTAAACTATTGGATAAACAAAGTTAATCACAGACATGACGAACATATAGTCAGAATTCTCTGTTGCTGGGCAAGAACTTAATTGGTTCCTTTCACTGGGTTTGTGTGTGTGTGTGTGAAATGGGGATCTGACCTCGGGTCGAATTCCTCGCTCTTACCTAATCCATGGCTGTCCTACTTTATCAGAGACTGAAACCAGACTGTTGCCTTTTGCCTCTCTCCTCAAACAAAGTCCTGAGAGCGGAGCCAGAGTTGAACAGAGTTCAGACTAATCATGAGTAATTACAGCATGACGGGAGGGGAGAGAGGAGTTGGGTTTGGGTATGTTTGAGAGATTGAGTGTGGACCTGTCATGTCCAACAAACAATCTTCAGGTCAAGCCAGGGTTGAACAGAGTTTAAACTGAACATGATTGTTTTTGCATGACAAGGGCTTGATTGATTGTACTACTATTGTTTCTAAACTGAAGAGAAGTCAAATTTAGCCGCTATCATAGACTAAGGAAGTGGGCGGAGCGGTCGAGAGGGGGAAACTGAAGATAATGATGGGGGAACCTAAGAGGGAGGGTCTTTAAGCTAAGATGTATGTGAATATGACTATATAAACGGAGAGCTGAGAGGTAGACGGGAGATGCTTTACAAATCATCTCGGCTTTTGTCTATTTGTAATAAAGTCTATCTTAATTCTACAAAAACTCTGAAATACTTTGATTCTTTGATTAGTATAAGGCCAAACTTTTCCACATCAATATTGAGCCAACCAACTGACCCTAGAATAATATTGTTTCAGGATATATTCACGATTTACTCCATATGTTATAAACCATAAGAATGCTTAGCAGTACAGTAGAATCTTACAGTGGAGGCATATTACCCCTCCCACAAAGACTCTCCTCTGATCATGGGCTAACACACTGTCTGTTCCCAGTCATTATCAACCTAGCCAATTAGCGGCTAATGCTAGCAGGGTGCTCCTAACTGACTTCAGTGGGAACGTCAGAGGCGTAATCCCATTTCTATAATTACTTCAACAATGCAGAGAGGTGCAGCAGGGAGATGAGCGGGGCTGGGGACAGTCATGGGATGTATTAATACATGATGAATAATGTGGATATCAGAAAAGGCTAATGAATCCATTAGTACATAGCTGAGGGATGAGAGGACTTGTAAAGCACGCTGGCACAATGACATCCGTCTTATTAACATGGAGGGGAAAACGACCTGGGGAATAGAACCAACAGAATTCCTTGGAAAGAAATTGCAAGATTTCATACTGGTATTAATTACATGGTTGTTATTTTAATAAGTTTATTTCCTATGTTTGACCAAATAAATGCCCTCATTGCCAAAAAATATGTGCAAGTAAAGTAAATATCAACCCCAACCTTGACTTGTTTGTTCCTGCTGTACTTCCATGCCAGGAAAACATTAAATAAACCATAGACAATCATGTCATTAAAATGTACATTTAGACTGATGAAATCAGTGTGTGCTGCAACCTTCAAAACATCTATCCATCCATTTCTCCATCCATCTCTCCTAGTATCTGTTGTTCCTGACCTGCTGCTGTGTGAACTCAATGACCTTTCCCTCTCGCTGCGGAGATAATATTCACCCAACGACTGCTGTATTAAACTGTAATGGATTTCAAGGTGATACGTCTTGTTCAAATTAGAAATGTTTAGGGAAACATGGCATCATGGGCGAAAATAATTTCCCTGCACTCATAATGGCAGTCTCAGAGGTGGACCAGTATGAAAAAAAATATGTATGCACTCACTAACTGTAAGTCGCTCTGGATAAGAGCGTCTGCAAAATGACTAAAATGTAAAAAAATTGATGTCACAGCAAGAGAGAGGTGAGGACGTGGGAGGGAAAGAGAAAGGGAGAGAGATTCACTCCACTGGCTTCCAGTTGAAGCTCGCATCCACTGCAAAACCATGGTACTTGCCTACGGAGCAGCAAGAGGAACTGCCCCTCCCTACCTTCAGGCTATGCTCAAACCCTACACCCCAACCCGAGTATTCCGTTCTGCCACCTCTGGTTTCTTGGCTCTCGCTCAGCCCAGTCCAAGCTCTTCTCTGTCCTGGCACCCCAATGGTGGGACCAGCTTCCCCCTGAATCTAGGACAGCAGAGTCCCTGCCCATCTTCCGAAATCATCTGAAACCCTTCCTCTTCAAAGAGTACATTCAATAATCCCACAGCACCGCCCCACCCCTCCTCCCCAACACCTTGTGCGCTCTGAATAAATGTTATTCAACCGCTGAAAAGGTCATGATGTATGAAATAGGTCAGAGGTAGGAAATGGTGTACTGTACTCACAGCCTGTTTGGCTTTGGAGATGTCATCCGTCTGCACATGCAAGTCCTCAATCTCCACCTCCATAGATTTACGGGCCTTCACTGCTGCCGCACAGGTGAACTCTGACTCCTCCAGCTGAGACAGAGGGATAGAGGGAGAGAGAGAGGGAGAGAGAGAGAGAGAGAGAGAGAGAGAGAGAGAGGAGAGGAGAGAGAGAGAGAGAGAGAGAGAGAGGAGAGAGAGAGAGAGAGGAGAGAGAGAGAGAGAGAGAGAGAGGGAGAGGGAGAGAGAGAGAGATATAGAGAGATAGACAGGCAGACATAGAGAGAAAGAGATTCAAATCCATTATCGAAATCTTATTGTGATGTTTCTTGACTTTCCCAGTATCTCTGTGGTGTGTCAGGGAGGTGTAGGAACTGGACGAGTGTGCTAGGGGTACTACCTACCTGGTTTTTGAGCTGGGCGATCTCTCTCTTGCTGGGGGCGTTGTTCTTCATGTGGTCCAGCATGATCTGGGCGTCGGCCAGCAGGGCCTTGGTACGCTTCAGATCCTTCCTCAGCCTCTTCTCTGTCTCCACATCTCTGGGGTTCACCTGGGGACAGCAGCAACACAACCAGATTACGACCAGCTGAACACCTTACACCACACACTAAACATAGTACGAACAAAAGCCTGCATAATCTGTAACTATCCAGTAGGAGGGTTGACAACCACTGGACATATAACTAGTCTGGGGAAAGCCTGTACAAGGTAGACGGTAGACTGGTAGGGAGTGTGTGACTGTACCTGGTCCTGGGCAGACAGTAGCTTGGTCTCCAGGTCTCTCCTTTCACGTAGGACCTTCTGTTTGTCATCATACTCCTCCTCCAGCTGGACTTCTATCTGCTTCAGCTGAAAACACAGGAACACACACTATATGGTGACCCATGAAATGTGATCCAACTGAAAGAGACATGTTTACATAATAAAACTGAGTCATCGTCTATGTTTGTGCTTTGGTGACGAAACCAGCTATTTGTGGCTACTATAGTCACACATTGCCACAACTAATCATTTGCCTTTAGAGTCATGTAAGGTTGTCGGTGTGTGCTGTACCTTCTTACTGCAGGACTGTCTGATCTCCTCCACCTCCTCGTCTTTACTTTCAATCTCCTTGGAGTGTGTCTGGCGCAGTCTTTCTGTCTCCATCTCCAGACGCAGCTTAGCCTGCACAACACAAAGACAGAGTATATGAGTGTCATCCTCAGTGGAGTGTGTGTGCACGCATCTGCATGTGTGTGTACACGTGTGAGTCTCTGTGTGAGTCTCTCTGTGTGTGTGTGTGTGTGTGTGTGTCTGCATGTGTGTGTACACGTGTGTGTCTCTCTGTGTGTGTGTGTATGTGTGTGTGTGTGTATGTGTGTGTGTATAACTCTGTACCTGCTCCAGCATCTGTATAGTTCCGGCCTGTTCATCCAGCTCCTCTTCCTGGTCTTTGACCTTGGCCTCCAGGTCACGTATCGTCTTCTTCACCTTGGACAGCGACGCCTCGTCCTTGGTCTCCTGGGATGACAGGTCCAGCAGCTCCGCCTCCAGCTGTTCTAACTTCACGTTCTGCGCACACATTTCCAGGTCCTTGTCCTATAGAGGGAGAGGGGACACATTAAGACACACATCTCCAGGTCCTTGTCCTATAGAGGGAGAGGGGACACATTAAGACACACATCTCCAGGTCCTTGTCCTATAGAGGGAGAGGGGACACATTAAGACACACATCTCCAGGTCCTTGTCCTATAGAGGGAGAGGGGACACATTAAGACACACATCTCCAGGTCCTTGTCCTATAGAGGACAGACTATCATGGGCAGACTATCATGGGCATTAATATTGAGTTGGTCCCCCCATTGCTGCTATAACAGCCTCCACTCTTCTGGGAAGGCTTTCCACTAGATGTTGGAACATTGCTGTGGGGACTTGCTTCCATTCAGCCACAAGAGTATTAGTGAGGTCGGGCACTGATGTTGGCCGATTAGGCCTGGCTCGCAGTCGGCGTTCTAATTCATCCCAAAGGTGTTTGATGGGGTTGAGGTCAAGGCTCTGTGCAGGCCAGTCAAGTTCTTCCACACCGATCTCGATAAACCATTTCTGAATGGACCTCGCTTTGTGCACGGGGGCATTGTCATGCTCAAACAGGAAAGGGCCTTCCCAAAACTGTTGCCACAAAGTTGGAAGCACAGAATTGTCTAGAATGTCATTGTATGCTGTAGAGTTAAGATTTCCCTTCATTGGAACTAAGGCGCTTAGCCCGAACCATGAAAAACAGCCCCAGACCATTATTCCTCATCCACCAAACTTTACAGTTGGCACTACGCATTCGGGCAGGTAGCGTTCTCCTGGCATCCGCCAAACCCAGATTAATCCGTCGGACTGCCAGATGGTGAAGCGTGATTCATCACTCCAGAGAACGCTTTTCCACTGCTCCAGAGTCCAATGGCGGCAAGCTTTACACCACTCCAGCCAATGCTTGTCATTCCGCATGGTGGTCTTAGGCTTGTGTGCGACTGCTCGGCCATGGAAACCAATTTCATGATGCTCCTGACGAACAGTTCTTGTGCTGATATTGCTTCCAGAGGCAGTTTGGAACTTGGTAGTGAGTGTTGCAACCGAGGAGAGATGATTTTTACGCGCTTCAGCACTCGGTGGTCCCGTTCTGTGGCCTACCACTTCGTGGCTGAGCAGTTGTTGCTCCTAGATGTTTCCACTTCACAATAACAGTGCTTACAGTGAACGGGGCAGGTCTAGCAGGGCAGAAATTTGACGAACTGACTCGTTGGAAAGGTGGCATCCTATGATGGTGCCACGTTGAAAGTCACTGAGCTCTTTAGTACAGGCCATTCTACTGACAATGTTTGTCTATGGAGATTGCATGGCTGTGTGCTCGATTTTATACACCTGTCAGCAACGGGTGTGGCTTAAATAGCCAAATCCACTAATTTGAAGGTGTATCCACATACTTTTGGCCATGTAGTGTATTTGATGAGAATCAAACATAGGATACAAAATCAATTCTAGCTCTTAAAGGGGCAGTAGCCTACATTGGGTGTACAATTTTCAATTACAGCATTCTTTATTCTGCAGTTATTGATGTGCTATTTATTCTGTTACCAATCAAATGTACATGTTAATAGTATCTTCTGATTACAATTATTATGTCTCATCTTTTAACTAAATGCAATCTATTAGCTTCCAAAATGTATGTAGGTATATCTAGCTGTCCGATAACACATTCTGATGGAATGGCTTGTCCTGCACTTGAGTGCATTGAGTGAATGTTGGAAAAAGATATTGGTTTCTTTCTAAACATAGCAATGTGAAATTCAAATAGGACTCGGACCACAAAATAGGTGAAGTGAACTGGCAAAAGAGTTGAGTCCTCATCCAAAGGCAAGGGCAGTGTGAATACAAAGGGAACTGAGTTATTTTACCACAGAGTTGACTATATGTGAAAACACCCTAAACACATATCTCCAGATCCTTGTCCTATAGGTGGATACACACACAATCCAAAAGTATGTTCATTCAAATAGCTGTGCTTGATTGAGCTTGCCATGGAGCCAATGGAATGGTCTCAAAAATGCAACCCCAGCCACCTGACACTCCGGGAAGACTAAAATGCTCAAAGTACTTGAAAGATTTCAAATAATATTTGAATCCATTTTTGGCACACACACAGAGATGTGGTAGGCCAGTAGTGTTGGTGTTTGTACAGTAGAGTACAGTACAGTACCTGCAGTTGCTGTCGCAGGCTGAACACCTCTCCAGTCAGCATGTCCTTCTCTCTGCTCAACTTCTCTCTAATATTCTTCTCCCTCTGAACCTCCTCCTGAGAGAGGTTCTGCTCCGAGTCAAACCTGACACACACACACACAGTCATGTTAATACCCTTGTCTGGCTAGACACACACCCTGCCGTGAGTCCTCTATCGACATAGAACAACATACTCATACTGGTACAGTACATGTGCACACACACACTCCCCATAGCCGTGACAGCCACGGGGGGAGTATCTGTCGCCCTGTTTACTTATTGAACTAAAGGGGCTTAGACAGCAGGGGCCTCTAACCAGCACAGCCAAGCTTAGAGACCACACATTTTTGCAGCATCCCAAGTAAGTTTCCTAGCCTTTACTGATCTCCTAGATTCATTTGTATTATATCTCTCCTACTCTGCTGAGGTGTGATATCACTCAGTAACCATTACCACAGAGAGATAGAGAGAGAGAGAAAGAGAGAGAGACAGAGAGAAAGAGAGAGAGAGAGGGGGTGGGGAGACAGAGAGAGAGGAGAGAGAGCGGGAGAGAGAGAGAGAGATTGAGAGAGTACTGTGGTGTTTTACCCAGGACTTTAAAGATTTAAAGTTACAGTGAAGATCTAAGGTAGTGAGCTCTGTTTCTTCTTCAAGTCAGTGAGAGAGTATGAGTAATATCAGGTTGTAGTTGCAGATCTGAATGTACTGTTTGAGTTATGTGTATGAGTGTGTGGCGCACACCTGTGTGTATTTGCGTGTGTCTGCATCATAGACTTAGATAGACATCGCATCATTGTATCTGTCTTATTACGGTGTCTAGGAGAGCATAGACAGTGCCATTGAGGCCATCTCCATTTTGAAGTAGACCATTTTCTTCTTCTTCTTCTATGAGTTGGTAAACAAACTAAAAGGGTGCACCATGTCACCTATGTGTTGTTTAAACAGGTATAAAGCCAAGGTTGGCAATTTACTGCCAACTGCAGTTATGGAATATTTCCTCATGAGTATAATTCATTGGCTGATCCGTCCTGGTGACCTGGATGGAATTATATGAAACCATCCTTAACCCATAGAAAGTCCCACCCAGTTGACTACTTCAAAATGGTGAAAGTCCTCAATGGTGCTGCCCATGCTACAACAGACTTTTGAGTACTAGAGTCCTCTATCTATCTCTATGGTCTGTGTTCACGTGTGTTTGTCGACCTACAGCAGAGTGTGTGCATTATGAACTGAACTCACTTCCTCTGTTTCTTCTCCAGGTCATGGTTGCGGCTCTGCTGGCCCTCCAGGTGTAGCTTGGTGTCCTGTAGCTCAGCCGTCAATCTCTGACACTTCTTCTTCAGCTGCTGGGCCGTACGCTGCACCTCCTCACTGTCTGCCTGGAGGTCACTTAGCTGGAGGGGGACGGAGGCAGGGAGATAGAGAGAGAGATGTGTAACATTTAAAATCTTTTTTCAAAATAAGCAGAGGCATGAAATAGGTCAAAGCGTCTGTTAGCTTCTGTCAAGCTGTCCGTCTGAGTGGCCGACCAGGTGAGACGGACAGAGAGAGAAAGAAAAGACTAGTTATTGCTTCACTGCTCCTTTTACGAGTGAGCACAGAGGAGTTGTCAAAACAGAGAAAGGGGCTGAGAAAAAGACAGAGATAAAGAAAAGCCAGACAGAGATAGACAAAGACAGGGACAGACAGACAGACACCTGCCCAACAATGAAGAAAGGAGATATAAAAGGAGAGACAGAGAGACAGACAGACCCACCGACGACAGTAGTCAACTACTTCTGTGTTTGTAGCTAGATGAGGTAAGTGTAAATCCCAACGTGCAAGTGTGTGTAAGCAGGGCGAGGTTGAGTTAGAAGTGTGTGTGTGTGTAGCTAGATGAGGTAGGTGTAAATCTCAACGTGCAAGTGTGTGTAAGCAGGGCGAGGTTGAGTTAGATGTGTGTGTGTAGCTAGATGAGGTAGGTGTAAATCCCAACGTGCAAGTGTGTGTAAGCAGGGCGAGGTTGAGTTAGAAGTGTGTGTGTGTGTCACGGTTTCGGCCGAGGCTGCTCCTTCTCCTTGTTCGGGCAGGCTTCGGCGGTCGTCGTCTCCGGAGTACTAGCTGCCACCGTTCTATGTTTCTATGTTTGATTGGTTTTGTCTGTTTGTTACACCTGTTCATTGTTAAGTGTTCATTATGCGTCCTATTTAGTTCTCTTGTGTTTGGTCAGGTGTTGTGTGTAATTATTCGATGTCACGTGTAGTAGTTGGTTCGCTGTTCTGTGCTCTCTGTATTTCGTTTTGTTTGAGAGAGTCCTGCACGTTGTGCGCATTTACTTTGGTTCTTACCAGTGTGCGTATGTTTCGCCTGTGGCCTGTTGCTGTGTTTGGCTTGTATTTTCGGACTTCACTAAGACATCTGTTTCGAATCTCTGTGTGTCCTGCGTGTGATTCCACGTTACCTCTACACTCAACCCTGACAGAATTACACACCATCTCTATGGAATCAGCAGGAGCACCCACACCCACAGAGATCATCGAGGAGCGCCTTCGTGGACAGGAGGACAGGATCAACCAAATCGGGCACGCCCTGGACCGAGTGATGAACACCCTCCATCGATGGGAGACCAGCGGGGTACCCACACCCCACCTACCGCACCACCATCCATCACCTCGGTCAGCCCGCCTGTCCAACTTCCGGAACCCAGTGGGATTCGGCTCTCGCTCCCGAGGGCGTACGACGGCACCGCTGCCGGGTGTCAGGGGTTCCTGTTGCAAGTTGAACTCTACCTCGCCACCGTACACCCGGCGCCCTCGGGACACGAGAGCGTTTCCGCCCTCATCTCCTGTCTCACCAGCAAGCGTTGGAGTGGGCCAACGCCGAATGGAGGAGAATAGACGCCGCTACTATCACCTATGCGGAGTTCTCCCGCCGCTTCCGTGCAGTGTTTGACCATCCACCGGAGGGGAAGGCGGCGGGTGGGAGCAATCTATTCTACCTCCGGCAGGGGATGAGGAGTGCTCAGGAGTTTGCACTGGAGTTCCGGACTCTAGCGGCAGATGCGGGGTGGAATGAGCGGGCACTCATAGACCACTTCCGCTGCAGCCTCCGGGAGGACGTCCGCAGAGAGTTGGCGTGCAGGGATACCACGCTTTCATTTGACCAATTGGTTAACATGGCCATTCGGCTGGACACCCTGCTCGCTACCCGCGGGCGTCCCAGGTGGGGGTCGCCCATTCCACCCTCCAGCACCTCCGAGCCGAGCCCTATGGAGCTCGGAGGTGCTGGCGCTAGAGGAAGGAGAAGAAGGAGCCCGAGGGGGGCCGTCCCCTGCACCAACTGTGGCCGTGGAGGGCACACCGCGGCTAGGTGCTGGGGAGGGTCTCCTGGTGGAGGAGAAGGCAGGCCACACATTGGGGAGTCCTCCCAGGTGAGTAGGCGCCCCACTTACCCAGAGCTTTCTGTCGTACACATAACCATACCTGTTTGTTTTCCACAGGTTGCACCTCGTTCCCAGCATAAGGCGCTAGTAGATTCAGGCGCAGCTGGGAATTTTGTAGATCGCAAATTCTGTGTAGAGTTAGGGATTCCCCTCCTTCCGGTAAATAATCCTTTCCCTGTACATGCCCTAGATAGTCGTCCGTTAGGATCCGGGTTGATTAGGGAGGTCACAGTGCCACTTAGGATGGAGACGCAGGGGGGTCATGAGGAGACGATTCAGCTCTATCTGATCGACTCTCCTGCGTATCCGGTGGTACTGGGGCTTCCCTGGTTGATTACCCATGATCCTACTATTTCGTGGCGAGAGAGGGCTCTTAAGGGGTGGTCTGCTCAGTGTGAGGGGCTATGTCTGGGTGTTTCCGTAGGGGCGACCTCGGTGGAGAGTCCGAACCAAATGCCCGCATTGCACATTCCCCCCGAGTATGAGGATTTGGCACTCGTGTTTAGCAAGACGAGAGCGGCGCGGTTGCCACCTCATAGACAGGGGGATTGTGCGATAGACCTCCAGGCAGGAGCTGCGCTCCCGCGGAGCCATGTGTATCCTTTGTCACAGGAGGAGAAGAGGGCAATGGAGACATACATGCCGAGTCTCTGAGACAGGGATACATACGGCCCTCCACTTCACCCGCGTCCTCGAGCTTCTTTTTTGTGAAGAAAAAGGATGGAGGTTTGCGCCCGTGTATTGATTACCGCGGTCTCAATCAGATTACTGTGAAATATAGTTATCCACTCCTGCTGATTGCGACTATGACTGAGTCATTACACGGGGCACGGTTCTTCACAAAATTGGACCTCAGGAGCGCATATAACTTGGTGCGCATTAGAGAGGGCGATGAATGGAAGACAGCATTTAGTACTACCTCCGGTCATTACGAGTATCTCGTCATGCCATACGGGTTAATGAATGCTCCATCAGTCTTCCAATCCTTTGTAGATGAGATTTTCCGGGACATGCAGGGGCAGGGAGTAGTCGTGTACATAGACGATATTCTGGTGTACAGTTCTACCCCGGGCCGAACATGTAGCCCTGGTGCGCCGAGTATTGAGGAGGTTGTTGGAGCATGACCTGTATGTCAAAGCCGAGAAATGTCTGTTCTTCCAGGAGTCGGTCTCCTTTTTGGGGTTATCAGTTGTCTGCGTCAGGGGTGAGGATGGAGGGTTGACCGTTGTGTCAGCAGTGCGTAATTGGCAAACCCCAACCACGGTTTAAAGAGGTGCAGCAGTTCTTGGGTTTTTGCGAATTACTACCGGAGGTTTATCCGGGGTTTTTGGACAGGTGGCAGCTCCCATAACGTCCCTTCTGAAGGGGGGTCCGGTGCGCTTGCGGTGGTCAGCTGAGGCGGACAGGGCTTTTGGGAGACTGAAGGACCTGTTTACCTCGGCTCAAGTGCTGGCGCACCCGGATCCCGCTTTACCATTCCAAGTGGAGGTGGACGCGTCTGAAGCCGGTATCGGGGCTGTTCTCTCACAACGGTCCGGCACACCCACCAACTCCGCCCCTGTGCATTTTATTCGAAAAAGCTCAGTCCGGCGGAGCGTTAATTATGACGTAGGGGACAGGGAGCTGTTAGCCGTGGTACAAGCCCTAAAGGTGTGGAGGCATTGGCTTGAGGGGGCTCAACCACCCTTTTCTCATTCTGACTGACCACCGTAACCTGGAATACATTCGGGGCAGCTAGGAGACTGAATCCTCGCCAGGCTCGGGGACTATGTTTCTAGCCCGGTTCGTGTTTAAGATCACTTACATCCTGGGTCCCAGAACGGGAAGGCAGATGCCCTGTCTCGGCGGTATGACACGGAGGAGAGGTTCCGTTGAGCCCACTCCCATACTACCTAAGTCTTGTCTGGTGGCACCGGTGGTATGGGAGGTCGATACGGAGATCGAGCGGGCATTACGCACCGACCCTAGCCCTCCACAGTGTCCGGTGGGTCGGACGTACGTCCCGCTCGAGGTCCGGGATCGGCTCATTTATTGGGCTCACACGTCACCCTCCTCTGGGCATCCAGGTATTGGCCGGACAGTGCACTGCCTTAGCACAAAGTACTGGTGGCCAACGTTAGCCAGGGATTGTGAGGATTTTATGTCTCCTCCTGCTCGGTGTGTGCCCAGTGTAAGGCACCCAGACACTTGCCCAGGGGTAAGTTACAACCCCTGCCCGTTTCCACAACGACCCTGGTCTCACCTCTCGGTGGATTTTGTTACAGACCTTCCCTCCTCACGGGGGTTTAAACCACCATCCGGTCGTTTGGATGGGTTCTCAAAGGCCTGTTCGTCTCCTTCCCATCCCCATGCCCGGGTTTTTTCCTTTTTTTCCCCGGGGAAGGGGCCCGGGAGGTTTTATTTAAACCCCCATTTTCCCCGTTTCCCCGGGCCCCGGAGATTTATAAGGGGGGGGTTTGGTGGGGGCCCCCGGGTTTAAACCCCCCAAGTTGGAGGCTTTTTTAAACCCTTTTTTTGGGGGGGGTTTCTGGGGCTTTACCCTCGGAAAACCCCCGGGGAGAATGGCAGGCCCGAAACTGTCAACCCCTTTAGTGGGTTTTGGGGTTTTCGGGAGGCATAGCCAGGGGCCCTGCGGGGGGTGGGGGGGGGGGTTCCCTGGGGAGTTTTGTAGGGAACCCCTCTCCGCACCTCCCCCACAAAACCCCTTTCCCCCGGTGGGGGCAGGTTTTCGGCCCCTTGGGGAATGAGGGCCCAACCAAAAGGCCCCCCACCCCCCCTCCCGGGTTGAAGGGGTTTTGCCCCGGGGCCCTTGGAACCCCACCCCCCCCAAACGCCCCCCCCCCCCGGGGCGACTTGACAGCCCCCCCCCGGTTTTTTTCCCCAAAATCCCACCCCCCCCGGCCTTTTAAACCCCCTTTAAACCCCCCTGGAAATTTCTCTCTCCCCCAACCCCCGCCCCCCCCTTCCCCCGGGCCTTTAATCGGCCCTTTTTTTTGTGGGTTTTAAAGGGTCCTGGGAGTTGGGAACGAGGGGGTTAACAGGAAAAACCCCAAAAAAACAAAAAAACCCCCCCCCCAAACCCCCCCCAAAAGGCCGGGGTTACTGGATTCCGGGACCCCGGAAAAAGACCCCCCCCCCTTTTGGAAACAAGGGGGGGTTAAAGTTCCCCACCAACAAGGAAAAAGGGGGCCCCAACACCTGGGGGGGGGTACGGCCCCGGGGGGAAAAGGGGGGTTGCTGGGTGCCGAGAGGGCCACCCTGACCCGCCCTTTTTCTGCCCGGGTTCCACCGGGTCACCACGCGCCCCTTTCCGCGTCCTCCGGGTTTCGTCCCCGGGCCGGGGGTTGGGGCCCCGGGCGGGACCCGGCGCGTAAAGGGGGGGGGTTTTACTTTCACGGTTTGGGCCGAGGTTTGCTCCTTCCCCTTTTTCCCGGGCACTTCGGGGGGCGCCCGCCCCGGAAGTACTGCTGCCACCGTTCTAGTTTTTTAGGTTTGATTTTTTTGTCTTTTTTGTTAAAACCTTTTTCCTTGTTAAGTTTTCATTATGCGTCCTTTTTAATTTTCTCTTGTGTTTGGTCAGGTTTTGTGTGTAATTGTTCGATGTCACGGGGTAGTATTTGGGTTTCGCTGTTCTGGGGCTCTCTGTTTTCTTTTGGTTTGGAGAGTCCGGGAAATTGGGGCCCCATTTACTTGGTTCTTCCCAAGGTGCGTTTTTTTTTTTGCTTTTGCCTTTTTTGCCGTTTTTGGGTTTGGAAATTTTCGGATTTCACTAAAACATCTGTTTCGAATCTCTTTTGTGTCCCGGGATTCCCCAAAAACCTCTCCCTTAAAACCCTGACATGTGTGTAGCTAGAGGGAGGGGGGTTTTGTAAATCCCAACGTGAAAGTGTGTGTAAGCAGGGCGAGGGTTGAGTTAGAAGTGGGGTTTTGTGTAGCTAGATGAGGAGGGGAAAAATCCCAACGTGCAAGTTTTTTTTTAAAGCAGGGAAAGGTGATTAGAAATTTGGGTGTGTCCACGCTCCCTTTAAACCCCCCCTCTCCAGTTTGCCTTTTGTTTTTGTTGCTCCCCTCCCGGGCTTGTCCATCAAACTCCTGCTGAAGCCTCTTTTGGGTTTAAACCCCTATCCTCGGATGGCCCTCTCATACTTAATTTCCCCCACCCCCCCCCCTAAAAGACAAACATAAATACGAAACATTACCCAACAGGTTGGGGCCCAGAACACAAAAACCCACACCATTCATTCAATAACAGGGGGTTTTGGGGGGGTGGCCCCTTAATTGGGGGGGAAATGGGCTCGGGGGTTAAGGGGGAGCAGTTGGTATCAAATACATCAAACACAGGGTTTTTCCATTGACTCCGTTCCATCCATTAATTATGAGCCCTCCCCCCCACAGCCTCCTCCCTTCAAAATTTTCTTCAAATAACTAAATTGAAATTAAATAGCCAGTTTGAAAGGAAAATCTGTTTACCCTTTGGGGGGGGTTTTATTAGTCAAAGGGGAAAGGGAATGTATTAAGCGTATTTGGGAAACCCTATTAAAAGTCGGGACAGTACTGTTTTTTGGCCTGTACCCTTTAAACCCCATACATGCTCAAAAAAAAAAAAGGGAACACTTTAAAAAACAAAATTTTAACCCAATCAAAACACCTTTGTGAAATCAAACTGTCCAAATTAAAGGGAAGGGAACATGATTGACATAAAATTTTAATGCTGTTGTTTCAAATGGAATTAAAAAACAGGGGGGAAATTTTTAGGGAAATTGCAAGACACCCTCATAAAGAAATGGTTCTGCAGGGGGTGACCACAGACCATTTTCAGTTTTTCCCATGCTTCCGGGGCTGATTTTTTTGGTCACTTTTTAATTTCTGGCGGGGGCTTTCCCCCCTTTGTGGTAGCATTGAACCCGGGGGGTTTAAAACCCCCACGTGGTTAAGGTAGTTTCAGCTCATCAAGGGGGTGGGGGAAAATTTTTGCAGCTGTTTGGGAAAAGGTTTTCGGTTGGGCTTCAGCGTAGTGTCCAGAGCTGGGGGGCGCTACCAAGGGGACAGGCCCGTAAAATTTAGGAGAGTGGAGGGGCCTTTGGGGGCAACCAAAACCCCGCCGCAGGACCGCTACCCCCCGCCTTTGGGGCAAGGGGAGCAGGGGGACACTTTCCCGAGCCCTGCCAAAAAAGACCTCCACCCGGGCCCCAAAATTTTGCATGTGCTTCTCAAACGGTTCCCGAAAAAAAGACTCCATGAGGGGGTTGAGGGCTCAAATTTCCCCAGGTGGGGGTTGGGGCTTACAGGCCCAAAAACCATTTCAGGGCGTTTTGGGATTTTCCAGAGAAAACCCAAAATTTGGGAAATTCGAAATGGCGCCCTGTGCTCTTCACAAAAATGAAAGCAGGTTTAAAACCCCGAAAACACATGGTGAACAGACTGACGAGTTTTGGGACGCCGTGGGGGGAACGTTCTGGGTGCCTTTCCAAAAATTTCCCCAATGAAACCCGGGGTTTGGCGGGGGGGGGAGTTATTTGGGGTTTTGGGGTTGGAATTTTTTTTGGGGGGGGGCCCCACAAACCCCCCATGTGCTCGCCAGAGGTAGCCGCTTTCCATTAGGTACCCAGATTTAGATTCAGACCCCTTGTGAGACCATAAGCTGGTGCGGTTTTGGGGCCCCGGGTTTTCCCCCCTAAGCAAGACAAGCAGACCTCAATTTTGGCGGAGTGTGGCCCCAGTTCCGCCCAAAAGGGGAAAGGCCCTTTTTCTATGGAAATGGCCCCCGTTCCCCCCCGACCCGAATCCCAAATTTAGCCCCATTTGGGAATTTATTTCTCGCTCCATCCCCAACGCCCAAAAATTTTACACCACAAAATGTCCAGGATTTGGGGGATGCTTTTGTCCCGGTCGGGGGGGGATCCCCCAGGGGACCCTTTCCCCCACCTCATCAGGAGCAGCCCAGGCGTTGTAGGGAAGGTTATACAGCACGTGGGGGGCCACCCCCCCACACTACGAGCCCAATTTTTTAATTTTTTTAAGGGCATTACCCTCAAAGTTGGGGGACAACCCCTTTTTAGTGTGGTTTTTTTTCCCCTTTAATTTTTATGGGGGACTCCAAAAACCGACCCTTTTAGAACTATTTTAGCCACATGTCATTTTTTTGGGATTTTACATTCAATTTTGATCTATTTTTGGGGGGAAAATTTGACCCACCCTGGTGTGAGTTTTTTGAAATCATGTTAGTCTGTCGTTAGGCCGGGTTTAAAGATTCCCCTTAAATGGTGCTCCTTTCCCTCCTTTGAGATCAAAAATGACAGGAAAACCCCCATTACTCAAAGATAGGTCGACTCACTTTAAACCCCAATTTTCCTTTTAAATCATTGATAAGAGTTTTTTCTAAATGACAAAAAGTAAATGTTGGTATGTGAAAATTTTCAGTAGAATTTGGGCCCGTATGAAAAGCCAGGACTTTCATTTTGGCACGGGCATAGGATGGGCCCCCTTTTCCCAAAAAGTCCCTTTCGGAAAATTTCTGCCCTGCGGGGAACTTTCCCCAGGGAAATTTAAATGGGTGTTTTTAAGTGGAAAAAGTCTAGTAGCACATTCGGCTCAGCGGCCCAATTGGGAGGCCACATAGGGGCCAAAACAGGGCTGCCGAGGCTGAAGCGCGTTTTGTGGGGTAAAAAAAATTGGGCTGTCCCCCGGTTTTCAAAACTCCCCTACAAAGTTCCAAACTGCCTCTGGGGAATTTAAAGTCAAACAATAAAAGTTTGGCGGGGAGCTTATTAAATGGGTTTTTTTTAAAGGCCGAGCAGCCGCACACAAGCCCAAGAACACCATGCGCAAAGCCCCAAATTCGGCTTGGGGGGGGGTTTGTTTTAAAACACGCCGCCATTTTCTCTGGGAGCAAAGGGGGAAAAGCGGGTTTTTCTGGAGTGAGAAAACCCCTTTTACCATTTTTGGGAAACAGAAAAGAGAATCGGGGTTTGGGGGTGGGCCCGGGAAAAAAAGCTACCTTGGGCCCCAATGCCTTGCCCCTGTTAAAATTTTTGGGGGAGGGGAATAATGGTTTGGGGTGGGTTTTTCATGGTTCGGGCTTTGGCCCCCTTTGTCCCGTGAAGGGGAAATCTTAAAAACTACAGCAACAAGAAAATTTTTAAAACGTTCCCGTGCTTCCAAAAAGGGTTTTGGGGGCAACAGTTTTGGGGGAAGGGGGCCCTTTTTCCCGTTTTTAGCATGACAAAAAACCCCCCTGCACAAAAAAAAGGGGGCCCTACCTTTAAAAGGGTTTTTCGAGAAATTTTGGTTTTTTGGAAAAACTTCACTGGCCGGGACAAGCCCCTTTACCCCAAACCCCCCCCTTTTAACCCCCTTTGGGGAAAAAATTGGGAAAACCGACCCGCAAGCCAGGCCTAATGGGCCCGTTTTCCCCACTAATGGGGGTCTTGGCTGAATGGAAAAAACCCCCCCGCGCAAGGTTCCAACTCTAGTGGAAAAAAGGTGGAGGCTCAACCCCGAAGAGGGAAAAGGGGGTTTTTAAACAACAAAGGGGGGACCCCAAATCCATATTAAAGTCCCTTTATTTTTGGGAAGAGATGTTCGACGAGCAGGGGTTTTTCATCTTTTGGTTTGGGATTTCCTCTTAAAAAGGGTTTTCTATTCCCCCTAAAAAATGTGGGGGTTTTTTAAAAAATTTTAAAAAAAAACACTGAGAAAAAATCTATTCTACATTCAGAATAGCCAACAAAGACTGCATTCGCATTCTAGATGGAAGTCTGTTCGGCATGGCGATCAAATATAATTTGAGGACGCCTGCTGTCTTTTATAATCCATTTTCTACGCCATGTCTTACAAACCTTTTGTCTCCTCATTGATTTCATGGCAGCACTGCAGTCTACGGGTGTCGCTTGATCCAACCAAACACTGAAAGGACTCAACCAGAAACAGCCTACTTCTTCGATCCTGATCTTGGGGTGTACATTTGTGTGCTGGTTGTTTCATGGTGCTACAGTTGTCACTATGGCAACAGTGTGTGTGTGGTTTTGGTTTTACTATCCTTGTGGGGACCCAGAAGTCCTCACAAGGATAGTACAACAAGGACAATTTGGACAAGTGGGGACATTTTGTCGTCCCCACAAGGAAAAATAGTATTTTAGGCTGAGGGGTTAGGTTTAGGGTTACAATTAGGTTAGAATTAAGGTTGGGTTAGAGGTTAGGTTTAGGAGTTAGGGTCAGGTTTAGTTTTTGTAGGGCGTTTGGGGGTTAAGGTTAGGGTTAGGATAAGGGTTATGTTTAGGGTTAGGGAAAATAGGATTTTGAATGGAATAAATTTTTGGTCCCCACAGATAGTAAAACAAAGGTGTGGTGTGTGTGTGTGCCGCTGACCTGTGTCGTCGTCGTCCATCTCTCCGTTGAGCTCTGAGGCTCTGAGGAGTCTGGCCTCCATCACCTCCATCTCCATAGAGTCCATAGACTTCTTCATCGAGTCAACTTAGTCTGGGGAGAGAATCAGAGGCCATGCATTAAAACACAAGATAGACATAATGACAGATAGACCTCACATTGCACTTGCACGTACACACCAACGCTCATTGCACACACACACACACACACACACACTTCCTCTAAATGACCAATCGCTCATTTCTAAAGCGAGGTCATTTGTACCCAGCCCAACCCATCAGTATGTGCTATCTGAACAGTCAGTGGAAAAATCTATGTCAAATGCCAAATAGAAAACTAAAAGGCTGGGGAAGGCAGGGTCAACAATCTGATTACACCATTACGTTTCAGCCAACAGAACTGTCAAAGGTCGTCATTGCAAATAAGAATCGGTTTTCCATTTACCTATCTGGTTCAAATAATGGGTTGAATGAAATAATTTGTACATCCTACAACAGGTTAAGGATGTCTCATTTCTCCTTGGCAGTGTTTACCTGCATGTCCTTCATGTCTTTCTCCAGTCTCAGTCCTCTGAGGTCTCAGACTCCAGCAGCTGAGAGGCTGACTCTCCTGTGTTCCTCTCGTCTGCCAGTCTCCGTCGACAGCTCTGTGATCTGGCATACACACAATTGCAATTAGCAAAGGGTTACACATGCACCCTGTCTTATGCATATAGTGCAATACAGTTAACTTCATGACATACTTACACCTTTATCTGTTCATCCTTTATTTATACATACAGATCCGCTGGTACAATGTGTTCTTATATTAGTCTGCACCGGTGTGATGTGTGGTGTGTGTGTGTGTGTGTGTGTGTTGCGTGTGTT